GTCACCTCACACTGTTAATCATTTGGGCAGCACATGCTCATCCCACGCGTGACACGCCGACACACGGCTACACGGCCGCTCTGTAATCCAGGCGACTTGGCATGATTTGGGCTTTCTCTACGATCGCATCTACCCATCATCCACTTCCTTAATCATGTCACTGGTCTGGTTAATTAAAGCATGAATTAATTACCAAACGCTGACTGATGATTGGGCTCTGGGCTGATGAAGCCATTAACCGTCGTCATGTGATGCTAAGCAGCATCACAGGCCGGAAACACGCCTCATACATATTCAGTGCCATGTTTAAGTCACGGCCAGCAATGCACCGTTCTCGAAGGGGATCCAAGCGGTACCGTGAGCCGGGCAGCTGTCCGTCCCACAGATCTGGGGTTCTCACGTGTTGACACCCAAATTCCCTTCAGTCTTCCTGAAATCCACTGGTGCTTCTGCTCCCCAACCAAGATGTTGCTCTCACCCAGTCTATGCCAGATGCTGCATGTGGCACCCCCTGCTGGTGCGGAGACCCAGTCGTCACCCTGTTTGCCTCTCTGTCACTGTGACAACTTACTCTCCTGGAATTATGAATATTCATACATACTTCATATTAAATGCACATAAATTACAGACAGCTCTGCCTTGATTAATCACAGCACTCGTAATTAGATCCCATGCAATCCAGCTGGCTAGCTGGGGTCCTGGACCTGAGCTTCTATTAAGAGTAAACTTTACAACACTGCCCCCCACAGGACACCAAAGGCTATCAATCATCAAGTCTACGAAGACACAGAATTTCCACCATCTTCTGCTCTGCTTTCCCCACTTGGTGTCTCCTCAGACAACTGGTTCAGGTTACTTTATTTGTACCTGTAGGTAAATCCCTTCCCGTCCCTTTTAAGATCCCTCCCCATGTGTGACATCATGTACAAGTTCACTCATTTAGGGTGCACTCACAGTACCCGATTCGTACCGTGCCTGAGCAGGTCTGACCGGATTTCTTGAGTAGTGTGATCTCTCCGTACCAAGCCGGTCAGCACTACGCTTAACCGTTCCCTGGCCCGCTTGGAGAGGTGGGCCGGAGCAGGTATACTCGGATTCGGGCATGGTACGGATGCAGTGTGATCGCTAACCGTGCCCGAGTACGGAATACACATGACGTTAATAATGCGACTGACACACGCATGCGCACACGTGCGTTATAATGAACTGAACCCGGAACTAACGGGTCGGGAAGGCTGTACAGATCTTGTCATTTTTTACGCAAAACTGCTTTGCTAAACAATAGTGTGTGAAGAGAGTATCGTGGGCTTTCTTTAGGTCATCTGCTCAATAAATTTAAAAAAAATTTTATGCTAGTTTGTCGACCTTAACAGCTTTTTTTAGTACGGTATCCCGTGCAACACTAGTCTGCACGGACTCTGAGATACATGGTAAAATGTGGGATCTTTTTATGGGTGCACAGCGAATAAATAAAAAATTGCTGCGTTGCATACTTGATGAATCTGTGTCATCATGCCCAAAACGACTCCAAATAAGCCACAAATTAGGACATTAATCATGAATTCCTTCCTGCTGTAAGATAGTGCTTTCCTACCGGTTTTCTTTAACACAAAAAAGTCGCACGGTGATGACGAAAGCGTTCTCGGACCAGGATTGTTAAGTGCAATGTAGCTCAGACTAGCAAGGAATTGGGAAGAGCGGGCAATCATGCTCATAAACGGTACGAGGCAACCGGGCCAAGTGTGAGTACGCCCTTACAGTATGTTTCATTGACAGTAGTAAGACCAGACGTTGAGGTCACGCACCAGCAGGTGGCGCAGCTCTGGGATACAGGAAAAAAAACACCGGAAAGCAAATGCTAATTATTCGGCTGTGGGGAGGGACGGGGGACTAGTTCACAGTTTATAAAGAAGTCTGGTCAGTCAGTCAAGCCCTGAGGATCATGTACGCAATTGCCTTTGAAATTAGTTCAGATCTAACACACTGTACCCACCCTGCCATTTTCCTGCCCTAAACCTACCCCTGTCTCTCCTTTATTCTATTTCCCGTTTCACTTCAGAAAAAGTCAACAAAGGCCCCATTGTGAGAAAGTGACACATTTTGAATAATAATTCCATTTACATATCATTGTACATTCAGCCAGAGTTGTCCAAAATCATTTTCTCACTGAATATCCCTTGAATATTTAATCACCCTGACAGTGTGAGACACACACTGTTACCTCCACTGAATTTGTTACACAGAGGTGTGTCTTAATGTTGACTATAGCTTTAAATGCGGCTGGGTCATGGTTACCCAGGTGCGGAAACTGACATTCCCGCAGTAATTATAAAACTGACATTTTGGCTTCACCGAGCAGATGATTTACTGTGGTGTGCTTTCTCCTTTGGAAATATTTAACGGCAAAAATAAACACCATGTCAAATAACTTAATCCTCAAGTAACCAAGTCTGTCTTAAAGTAAAACAGTTCGGGAGGTTCTCATAAGCAGGGAGGTGATTGGAGAGGTCTTCATCAGATTGGCTTGTCACTCTCCACCAATCAGACGGTGCTGAGGACCCCGCCTCCGCTGTCCATCATGCACTTGAGATATTCACACACACACGGTTACAAACTCACAACCTGACTTAAACACTTACAGCAGGCCCCCCCCCCCATCCTGCCTGCTGACAGCAGGGTCACATGGGCCATCTAACTCTGACCTCTGACCCCTGATAACATCTTGACCACTGAAGTCAAGCATTTACCAACGAATCCCTCCTCCCACCACCATAAACCACTTTGCCTTATGGGTATCGATGTTGCTTGAAGAGCAAAAAGCCACAAAATTTATTTGCATCTTTTCTGGCAATAGTTTCACTGTAAAAAGTGCATCATGGGCCTACTGAAACCACTGATAACAAGTATAACTTAATTACTTAAAACCCTAATTACCTACATAATTATCCAGCTGAGCTCCCCGTTTGTTTAATGACTTCAAATGAAAATTTGCAAGTTATTAGCACCTGCTTATGTTTCTACACTGCACGAAACCAACTGAACTGGCCGGTGAGGGAGTGAATAATCCCAGGGCCTAGTGACAGCTGGATACAGCGGCAACCTAGCAACAGTGGGTACGGCGGTAACCTAGTGACAGCTGGATACAGCGGCAACCTAGCAACAGTGGGTACGGCGGTAACCTAGTGACAGCTGGATACAGCGGCAACCTAGCAACAGTGGGTACGGCGGTAACCTAGTGACAGCTGGATACAGCGGCAACCTAGCAACAGTGGGTACGGCGGTAACCTAGTAACAGCTGGATACAGCATTACCGTGGCAACTGCATCAGTGCTGAATTATGGATATTACTTTAGAACCAGAAATTATTAGAAGACTACTAATGTGGGTGTCAGTAGATATCTGCGAGGGGGTGAAATTATACCCTCTGGTGCTGGAGGGCCTTCAGTCTCACATGGCTGCCTGCACAAGGCCGTTCATCTGCTATTAGTGAGCTGAACACCTGAGTCAGGTATAAGACAAGGCTGAGCACTTTTTTAATGAAGCTAATTTGGTGAAAGTTAAGTTTGACTGCCGCTGTAGGGATAAAATATTGTGCTCTCTATTTTTCAGAATTTTGTGCATTTTCATATGGAAAGGTGATAACTCACTGTTATAATCTTAAACAAACAACTGGTTTTTTAATCAATAATTAGAGATTACAGATGACATTAGAGACAGTCTGTGATTGTGACAACAGGCTCAGTCTGAGCCGCTCACGTGTTAGTACAACCTTTGGTTTCTCATGCTGAGACATAGAGTTAGACAAGCTGCAGTTTCAAAACTTAAACAACATTCCACTTTGCATTAATTACTATTCAAATTCATGTAGCTTTAACAATGAAGAGCCTTTAATTTACTAATCTGCTTGTCAAAGATGAGTGTTATACGTTTTCTGTCCAGTAGAGGGAGACAATTCCCCAAAACAAATTTCCTCTGAAGCTATTTTTGTGGTTCATATTGTTCATATTGTCCATCCATCCATCCATCCATCCATTTTCTATACCCACTTATCCAATGCAGGGTCATGGGGGTCCAGAGCCTATTCTGGAAGCTACGGGTGCAAGGCAGGGAATAACCCAGGACGGGACGTTAATCCAACATAGGGGGCGCGCACACATTCACCGCAGCTCCAATTCTTAGCGCGTTTTATTATTTATGCAATAAAGTGGTTCTCGGGCCTAGAATTTTGAAGAAAAAAAAACGTCATAATCACTGATCCATATTTCTGGTCAGTAATAATGCTTTAAAAGTGAACCTGGATAACAAAAATCTAAAATATAAAGCTAGAATGCTGAAGGGACGGTTTGAATTGTGTCACGTTGTCATGAGGAGGAGGTGTTACGGTGATGTCGTCTGTCTGTCATGTGACCCCTGTCATCCGTGGCCTGCTGGATAGATTGATGGCATCCCTCCTCTCACCTTGGCTTGCGCTAAGACCTTTTGGACGTTAACTTCAGCCACAGTTCCCTTAAAAGCAGGGCTTTATGGAGCTCGGTGAATAGAAATATCTGTCTAAATCTCACATCGTGAACATGCACAGCTGCATAACAGAAGCGCCCCCTATCGTTACTGCAGGCTGACGCTGCCGCGTTTGCGTGATTCTCCACATCAGGGAGTATGGACCCCTTCACCACAGACTCAGGAGATGTAAAAGATGGACAAGCTAATTATCCACACAGAAATACAGACTATTTAAAGAGGCTTTATATAACATCTCTGAGACCCTGAAACGCAGTTACCAAGAGGGTTCCAGGATGTTCACGTGCCCCCAGATCCAAACTCATCAGCTTTCAAAAGTAAAAAAAAAAATCAAAAAGAACGTCGTGTACCATCACGTCTGGGGCACATTGTAGAGCGTCACATCTGGAAAGAAGGCAATGTTACTCGTTTAGAGAAGACGCCGCACCACCGGGGGAAACGGCGGATTCAATTTAAACACTAACAAAATCAGTAAGGTTGATGGAAAGAGGGCCTCGAGCAGCCAGGCGAGTTAATTTGCCAAGTGGAGCAGCGGCACCAGCTTCTGACCGAGATGCGTCTTGTTCCTGCAGGCACCGCTGATTTACCTCAGACCTTATTGTACCTTGATTTTGAGGTGGCTCTCTGAATGTCCTACATGCTGCAAAACGGTTCACTGGTAAGATACCTTAGCCCAACTCACAGTCTATCGTCTTGTCATTTGCAATGTATGGTCATATGAAGTGATTAGCGTCAACCCCCCACCGAAGAGCAATAAAGATGTTATTTAAAGGAAAAGCGTGACGCCATTCTGGAATGTTCAGGATGTTGGTTCCACTTGATCGTACCGGGGTCTGCAGTAACATGGACTCAAATACAGGCTTTAATAATAATAATAACAACAACAACAACAACAACAATAATAATAATAACAATAATAATAAATGACTTCCCAGTTAATTAAACATAAACTAATAGCCAGAGAATAATTTCTGTCTGTGACAGCAGATGTGTTTAAAACGTTCTCACGAAGTACCTAAATTCTCAGCGAGTGCTTCCGCAGACGAATCTAATCTCCCCTTTAGGTATCCTGCGCTTGTTTTTGGTTTTGCAATTCCACAAAGCAGCCACGCGGCGGCGCCACCGAGGCCCATTCTAGACGCACACGGTGGTCCTCGAACCTCGCCAAACGCAGAGCGCAGCCCCTCGTCCCCCCTTTGCTTTGCGAGACGTGTAGGGCAGCATGTCGGTCGGGCTGTGTGCTACACAGGCTCCCCCGCGTAGTGGCCGGCTGCTTGGAGGCTGTGCCCGGCTTTCACGGGAATATGAGAGTCCTTAGCGGCGCGACGCGTCTCCCGAACCGCAGGACCGAGGCGCACGACCTGCAGGTGAGCAAAGTTGCCCTCGAATTCCGATGCGCTCCGGAATGTCGCTCTTCGCGGCCAGCAATGGCGTGGATCCTCCAAGTTGGAAAAGAGGTGAAGCGCCGGGGAAAAGGACGCTGTCTGTAAATTTGAGCGTTAGGATGGTGCTTAAATGACCGCCGGCAGCGCGACCAGCGGCGCGTCCCTGTTTGCAGCCAGTAAAGCGCGTCCACAGAGAACCAACAGCGTGACTTGGAGCCTAAGTTGGAACAGTGACAGTGTAGGTACGCTCTGTGGGATAATAGTATGTATCTAATTAATAAACATTCTTAATTGTTACATTTGTTATTTCAAGAGGTTTTGACACACAGACGACACAGGCCACTTCAGAGTTAAAAAGTTGTAGGTAGCAAATATTTTTGTAGTTTTAAGACATTTTTACACATTGTTTAATGTTTTGTTTTTTTAAAAAAGTAAATCATCTTTTTTAACCGGTGCTGTTAATTATTAATGACGCCAAATAAATAGGCTAACATTAGGAAACAGCGATTCTTTTCGACATTGAGCGTGTTTATCGGCCGTTCTATGTTTTGTTGGGGGTTACTGTGTACGTATCTTCCATTTGAATAAAACCTGGGGTCGCTCTGTCAGCTCTCCTGCTTTGATCTTGACTCCTTCATGTGTAGTTTTGCGCAATGAGTGTAAAATAGCAGTAATTTAAAGGGATGAGCGATTTTGGAGGATGGGTGGATGAAGTAGTTACATGACACGTATAGCGTTACATCGATTTCAGACGTGAATAATATACATACCTGTCAGGAACGGTCAGGTACCTAAAGTCACAGGCTGTGACTTGATGGCCTTTTATACATAGTAAAAGCGATATCACTTAACACAGATAGACTGGAAGGTGTACTGTACCATGGGGACTTAAACTGCAAAAAATACTAATTTGGGAAACTCGGTCCTCCACATTTGGCAGAGCGTTTGCTGCTTGTTGTACTGGCTTGTGCGGTTTCTGGTAGTTTTACTCCCCCTTGTGTTATGAAGATTAAGTGACTGTAGTTTGTGCGTGTTTGTGTCTCGCGGATCCACTGTGCAGCACCTTGTCTTTCATTTTGAATCCAAACAAATCTTCTGGGAGGTTCTGCAGGACCTTGTGTTACGTGCAGAAGGCAAGTCTACGAGTGAGAGGTTCTTTAAAAAAAAAAAGTTTTCCGATGATTCTTTGGCTCCTAAATGGTTGTCCTGCACTTTAAACAGGCTTTTGACAGTTATATTCAACATTAAGTGGAAATAGGCTTATCATGTGTAATTGGAGCATATTAGCAAGGATGCATACAGCCTACCAAAACATTATAGCTGAATAAGGGAGTGATCAATGTGATGTGTTCGATCAGGAATGCTTTCCCCACACCCATTTGTATAGACAGCAAATAGCTGCTTAAGGTGTTTTTAATGGATGGTAATTCACATCAGCTGCACTATGTTTTGATAAGTTTTACATTATGCTGGATATTAGGTCATGCATTAGCACTCGAGCTACGTCCCCCTTCCTGAGTGACGTACAGGTAGAAACAATGCATCTTGACATGCTTTAAGAGTCTGACTGGAATCTCCTTCCCTAACCATGAGACCAGGAGTTATCTTGTGTCTGATGGTCCTAGTGGGAGTGGACAGTTCAGCTGGCAGGTGGTGACCTTCTTGCCGTCTTACAATGTCTGGAGTTGAACCCCGATGCACTCTCCCACTCTGAGGGAACTCGGTTGGGTCTCCTGAGCCTCCCTGAAGTAAACTGTACGTCGAGACAGTCTCTAGTACTCGTAATCCCCATGGAGCCTCACAATGCTCTGAGACAGCAGCTTGAAAATAATGTCGTTCTTATCAAACAAAAATCCGAATAATGGCTAGAGGTCAGTGCCGTGTGGTCAGTGCCGTGTGGTCAGTGCCGTGTGGTCAGTGCCGTGTGGTGAAAAATCGAGTGGCACGCGGCCGGCTAGGATGCTGAAAACACTGCTTAGAGTGGTCCGGTTCGCTGGTTCCTGTCTGCTCAGAGCAGTCAAGCAAGCTGAAATAACTAAAGATAATCAGTGCTGGTGATTTAGGAAATGCCAACGAATCGTTTAATGTAGAATCTTTATGTATAATAAGGTCTGTTCTCAGCTTGGCCAGTGGTGCACAGTTACATCCCTTAATCTGTTCCTGCTTAATTAGCAATCTGCTAGTTGATTTTTTTCTTCTTCATGGAGGTGGAGGAAGGAATCCAAAGACTAATGCTGAATCGGGAAGGCTTTCTGTCTGGGTTCCACCTCTGTCAGGTGCTCTGACGCCTCAAACATTGCTGAAGAAGACAAGATGGCTCAGATGACCTTCCAGGCGGTGGACTTGGTGGAAAGGCGAGTTTAATTCAGAGAGACCACATCACTGACCTGGTTGACACTGTGGTGGCTGAGTGGGTCGGTGGTACCAGCCACTTATACTCTTCTCCTTTAGGAATGGAGGCTCTTCTATCCCTTATTTTCCGATTGAATTACCTCCTGGAGAAGACCATGAAGGATGTGTCACGGATGTAAGGAAGGAAGCACGACATGTCTGAGGCTGCAGTTACCTCATAAACGTAGACTAATCATCACAGATTGACCACTTGGTAGCGGGTCAGGGATTGTGTGTCCTATTGGCTGTGCTATCCAACACCATCACAGTCGAGTCAGTCGGATATAGGAACTCCATGTGCTTCATTTGGAACTCCAACTCTGAAGGTGCCTAATTGAATAATGTAGACCAAAAAGAGCTGGTGAAGAGGCCAGGAGCTAAATGCTTGGTGACACTCTGCTGGAGATGTAGGTAAGTCTTTAAATTGGGGGGGGTTTGAGGTACGGCTGAGACTTCAGGTGGAGCTGACCAGAGGTGGATAATCCAGGTCCAGAGAGTAAAAGTCCAGACCAAGATTTTGTTTCAACCAACTAGTTGAGTCCTCTGTGACTGTGACTCTTTATACTCAACTTTTTGGTTGAAACAAAATCCTGGTCTGGATATGTACTCTCTGGACCTGAATCACCCGCCTCTGGAGCTGACCCTGTCTGGTTGTGACACCATAAATAGGCATGTGAGCAAGATCACCTCTGACACCAGGAGAGCGTAGGATCTCAGGAATGATGCAGTGTCAGGATTTTCTCTGGAGATCTCCCCTCAGCTTTGGTGAGGTCCATAGCAACACACATACTCTGCTAAAGTGGGGGTGTAACTGCAGGTCTGCTAATGGCAAAATCACTTAAACATCTTGGGTCCCACTGGATTCAGCGATCCAAAAGGTGCGAGGGGGCGGATCGATGTTTTACGCATGATCACTGACAACATGCCATCTGGGAGGCTATTTAAGATGAGCAGCTCAGTCCTTACTGGAGACCTAATAAGCTTTCTGTACAGTGGACCTCCAGGCCACTGTTGCAGTTGGAATGTCTCTGTGTTTCCGAACATGATTCTAATGATCAATTGCCTTAAAAATTGTGAAAGATTGCCAGATGTGGTCAGGAAATATACCTTGTAACCTGTGCCGAGACTCCAAAAAAAAAAAAAGGACATTGAACATTGAAATAGTTCATTTAAATGTAATGTAAATTTTATTTCTAAAGCACATTTAAACAACCAAAGTTTTCCAAAGTGCGTAACAAAATTAGTACAAACATCACATAAATAAGACCACTGTAAACTGGTGTGATACGATATAACCAAGGCCTTAAATGAGAAAATAATACTGTCAAGGATCAGCACTTAAAGCCAATCTATAAAAATATATTTTAATTGTGATTTAAAAAGAGAGACTGCAGGAGAGGATCTAATCTCCAAAATAAGAGTATCCCAGGTCCATGCACAGAAAGCTCGGTCACCTTTTCCTTTATGCCGGACTCGTAATACAGAAAGTAAAGGCTTGTCAGGTGACATCAGCTCAGATTTATTCTCATGATTGTGTATCAAAAACACAGAAGTTTGGGTTTTACAGCTGTGGCATTTGTTTTGTTGTGGGCCAGACCTTTCTCTTTAAGATAAGCTTGGGTGGCATTATAGTAATACGGTATTTCTGATATACTCTGCAGAGAAATTTCATTGGGGGACAGTCCCCTTCCCTCCCCCCGCGTTGCTTTTGAAAGTACCATCAAAATGCCATATACTGTGGAATAATATCTGGAAGGTATGATGGTATGAAAAATTAGATACCGCCCAAGCCTCCTGTAAATGGGGGCCAGCTTAGCTGTAAGCTCAGCGTGCGTGTAAGAGCTATAAAGTGCAGTGAATCAGGCAGTCTCTGTGCCAGGCAGCATGGCGGACAGCTCACCAGTCACTGGGGGGCTTTCAGCTCCCCGAGGATCATCTCAGGAAATGTGTAATGTACCCATTAAAAAGACCCAACACTGAACAGAACCGGCACTGTGATTCAGCAGAACCGAGTGAAATGTAAATGATAATTCTCAGATCATGTTCCTTCCCATCTGTGTGCCTGCATCTGGCTTTTCAGGTCGTGTAGAACTTGTGGCAAAACTTTGGGCTTCCTACTGTTTAAGACAGATCAGTCATCGGTGTTGGGCATTTCATGTCCAGAAACTATAAATCCGGACCAGGATTTTGTTTCTACCAACCAGCTGAGTACTTTTTGACTGTGAGTCTTTATGCCCAACTGGTTGGTAGAAACAAAATCCTGGTCTGGATTTTTACTTTCTGGACTTGAAGTGCCCCACACTGCTGGTCACCCACAGTCATTTTATTCAGTGGCTGAAGCATACCGCCATTGTCACTGCAGCATGGAGCTGGGGTGGAGGGTGGGGCCGGCTTTGGGATAGCGCGGGGGGGGCAGCGTGTTCACCTCTCAGCTCAGGCTCTCTACCTCTCCGGAGCACTAGACGAGTGCTCATGTCGACACTTTGCATGACAAACGGGGCTCGGTGACAGGGACACTGGATGAGCAGTCTGCAGTGCTGCACTGTGCTGTACACGCCTCACTATATAAACAAACACCGCTGTGCCCCTAGTTACTATTGTCTTTATAGGCTGTGTTGACAGTGTCCCTTTGTTTGGTGACCATGGTGCTGTGGGGATTGATGGTCATCCTGTGGTCGACCCCATTTATGGACCGGGAGCGACCTTTTCATCAGCGCTCGTCCCGTTTTCCCGAACGCCGTGCCGCTGTGCCCCGTGGGAGAGCCTGCGCCGTGTGACATTGCGGAATAGCTAGGCCGGTTACCTCTGTGTTTGGCAGCGGCGCCCGTGAATGTTGTGAGAGTTTAGAGACTAGAGGCCCGTATTTTCAAAGAGCCGCCCAAACGTGTCGTGAATAAAAGCTCTGTGTAGCAGACTGGCTTTACACACATTCCTTTGACAGATTTGTGCCAGAAAACTATTCAAACCATTAGCAGCAGGCTAATTGCAGAATTAGTTCAGCATGCTAATCTGAATGGAGCGGTTTTAAATAGAGCTGGTAAGTCCTGCTAAACGTCAGAGCGCAGAGCGTACTCCAGATGACCGACTAGATGCGATTTCTACATCGGTTTTTGACCCTCGACATAAAAACAGAAATGCCAAGAAATCTTCAAAGCACAAATGATAATGTGCACTGTCATGCTTTTTGCTTCTGGAATGTTCCTGGATTCCAGTTGGGGTTTCCCACAGCCTGACCCTGCCGGTGGGGGTCGTTCTCTCTGTGTCTGTAGCAGGGCCACGGCGTCCCGCCTGGAGCAGTCCCCGCTGAGGACCCCCATGCAGGTGATCAGCGATGGCTGCAGATTCACACCCAACGGAGAAGTAAGGGGCTGATTATCCACTCATGATTCTAACGGAACTTTCGTCCGTCCCGCCTGTCTTGGAAATGCTGCATTGTTTAATTTGATACACTGGGAATCATCATTATTGTAATCAGGGAGATGATGAAATCTGATCAGCCTGGTTTCAGCTTAATGACCCAAGTGCCCCCCCCCCCCCGCATCGCCTGCTATTAGTTAATTAGACCGAGGGTTGCAATGATTACATCACTCGGGCTGATTGTTCTTCTCACCCAGCTCTTGTCACAAGTAGAAATGTTTCCACAGGACAGTCACTGGTGCGGTGAACACGGGGCACACGTTGCATCTCGCCGAGAAGATCGTCCTCTCCGTCTTCCTGGCCGCCATCATCGTCCTCACTGTCTTAGGCAACCTCTTGGTCATGGTGGCTCTCTGCAAGGACCGGCAGCTGAGGTGAGGCCTTCCTGCGACCCACACGTCACCCCGGTGTTTTTGAAGTTTGACGCAGACGCGCCAGCTGAACCGGGTCTCTGCAGAGTGAGGCTGTGAAGGTCCTTCTCAGGGTCGCCCTGCGGTCTGCCTGCTGTTCTTTGATTTTTGCTCCAGCTGAGGGTCCTCTCAGTACACTTGATTATTGTTGACTTTATTTTTTTTTTCTTTGGACGTTTGTTTATATCAGCAAGGGCACTTTGAATATGTAGTTTTGGCTCCTAATGTTCTGTACGTTGCAAATCATTATTCTATTAGACAGGTTATGCATGTTGAATGCCGTCGACCAATTAAATAGTGGAATATTTGATTTATTCTAATGAAGGGGAATTTTTATTGTCATTTCACATGAACCAGCAGAAGTTAAAGTAACGCATTTGAGATTATATTCACAGGGCCGTGTCTGTAACACTCTTGCTTCTAATAAAATATCAAAGCAGCCTAATCAGGCGTACTTAGTTAGGGAGCTGATTTTAATACAAGTTGGCTACACTGTCCTTCAGGACTGTTTTTACAATCACTATATAATGTAATATATCACTATTATATTATACCCCACGACCCTGAGCAGAATTATCGGTTGCAGGATGGATGGATACATTACATTATATTTTTCATTTTTTCATTCTGCATATGCCTGCTTCCTGTCTCAGGTGACATGTTCTCTGACCCAGGACAAATAAAATATGTTTTCAAATGACCCCCGATTCTTTCCACACTTCCCACCCCCGAGCACAGGGTCCTGGTCGGTTCAGAGGTGTCACCTCCTGCCCTGTTCTGAACAGCCCCTTTTCAGTTACGCGTGTTCCCGTCCTGTAGGAATGCCTTCTTGTCAGTGTCAGACTGGTGGCCTTTCACTAGGACAACAAATGATTATTCGGCGAGGTCAGTGCTGTCGTGGGAAAGGGATAGAAAACATCTGCTCGCATCCATCGGACCGGAAGAATTCGGTGAATTTCGTTATATAGCGTTCGGATATGGGAGCCTTATCTATCAGCTGAGCTTATTGATTTTCTGGATGGTTTACAAAAACTATGTGCCTAATACAACAATCACACTTTCCTTACCTAGATAATTAATATTGTTTACTACACAGAAACATGAAGAGGTTTGTCAGTTGTTTTTGTCAGTTGCTTAACATAAGTTGCCTCATTACAGTGTCTCTTTTGGGTGATTTTTTTTCCTTTGTGCACAAAAGTGCTGTGTTTGGCCTCCGGCGTCGTCGCGTTGTGCTGTTCGGGCCGCCCCTGTCCGCCACCGGCCAGAGCTACCTCGGACTTCCGTCTTCCCAGCTCTCACTCCTTAGTCGACCAGGCCAGATTTCTGGCCCATAAATATTTATGGGCTGTTCGAAGCCCTCTGGCAGTTCGGTCTGAGCGCCGGGGGGGTGCACGGCAGGCACTCTAGCCCCAAGCAGCCAGGTGGTCGCCTGGGCTGTAAAATGGAGCTCCAGCGCTATGACTCTGTGACGTTCATAACTCGCATTGTGGAGTTAAAGAAGGAAAACTAAGAATTAGTCTTATTGCCCGTAAGTGACCGGCCGTGAGGACCCTGCCCGAGCAGGTCCCGCACGGTCATCACGCTCCCAGAAGCGTCTGGGTTCTGCCTTCATACGACTTCACTCACTGGACTATCTCTGACTGTGCTCGTAGGAAAAAGAAGACCAACTACTTCATAGTGTCACTGGCATTCGCCGACCTGTTGGTGGCGCTAGTAGTGATGCCGTTTGCGGCCATCGAGTTGACCACGGGTAGCTGGAGGTATGGTAAGACCTGCTGCCTGATCAGAACCTCGCTGGACGTCCTGCTGACCACCGCCTCCATCCTTCATCTGTGCTGCATAGCACTGGACAGGTGAGAGCAAACCCTAACCCTAACCCTAAACCTAACCCTAACCCCAACACAGCGATACGAGTAAATGTTTTTTGATATTGAATTAATTAATGCTGCACATTTAATGTCAGCTGATGGGCAAAGATTTGATGCAGATGTGATGGAAATCTACCTCCCGGATGACGACTGTAATGGATATGAACGGTGGCCAGAAGCACTGCGTGGAAGCTGTCTGCTCTCTGGAAGCTTACGCCTCCTGTGGAGGCATTATCTGGCCACTTTGCATCGCTATGGCAACCACACCAGACACTGCAGCCATAGATACACGCATGTAGGCATGTAGTAATAGAGGGAACATGCAGTTATATTGCAGTAAAAGCGTAGAGTTTGGTATGCGGTATTTGCTGGTCCACATCCCTTAGCTTTGTCGCACTTTTCCGTCTCCGGCTTGCGGCTATCGGTGTGATGTCACGTGGTAATAACCTTGTACGATGTGATACTTTATGGCGTTTATGTATTTTCAGACTGATTCTGAAGCTCTGTGAAGCAGTTTGGAAGGTCCCGTCACTGTTTATGTGCATAAAGGGGTTTAGTAACAGTTTTAAAGCACTAATATTTCTCACTCGGCAATTGGGATCGAGTTTTAATGGTGCCCGAACGTCCCCGTTCGTCATTCACTGCAGACGGGACTTACCTCGTGAGTATTTCAGTTAAAACGCTCATAATGAAGGTACAGTGCCTGCACATCTGCTCGGCTCATTAAACAGATGGGATCCCAAAGACATTTAGCATGTTACGCAACGTCACCGCTGGAGGCTGATCTGCCCCCCCCCCCAACTGTGAAACCCACCAAGCTATTGTTCCGGTTTCCTGTTACTGTTGAGAGGTGCGGGTTTGTCAGGCCTCTCTTTTACCATCAACTCCATAAATACCAGCACCAGATTAATCAGCTGATTAATCCATCCATCCATCCATCCATCCATCCATCAATCCATCTTCTAACCATTTATCCTGGTCAGGGTCACGGGGGGGGCAGAAGTCTGTCCCAGGCAGCGCAGGGCACAGAGCCGGGGTGGGATGGGATGTCAGACAGGATAATCCGTGTTAAAATGCAAGCACTACTTTTTCAAATATCCAATGGTCCTTCTAGGAAACCATGTTGATTTTTACACATCTGGTATTTTAGTTTCTTTTTTGTTGCATGTGGATTAGGGTTAATCCCGTCTATGCCGACTGTGTGCTGTATGCATCACCTGATGCTGTCTCAGATTGGCAGATGGCGCTGCATGTGTGATGCGTTTTTTTCCATTTGTGGTGGTTGGGGGGTTGGGGAGTTAAGGCACTTGGCAGTATAGAGATGAAAGATTATCCTGGTGAAAATGGACGGATAAAAGCGGAATGACAGGAGGAATGACAAGCAGAATGACAGAATTTCCCCATTGGACATCTGACTTTGTTTTGTGTATTTCTTTATGTAATGTGATTTGTTAATTGCAAAACATGCATGCAGATGTCATAGGGGGGCACTGTGGCCTTATATGCCCAGGGTTGGGGAGCTGAATCCCATCTCTGCTCTGTCTGTTTGTAGTTCACATGCTCTCCTTGTGTGTGTGTGTGTGTGTGTGTCTGTGTGTGTGTGTGTGTGTGTGTGTGTGTCTGTGCCCTACTATGGACTGGCACCCCCTCCAAGATGGACCCAGCCTCTGTTACCTGGGATGAAGTGGTTAGATGAATGAATGTCACTCTTCTGTTTTTCTACCCCAGTAACCCTGATTGTAATTCCTGCTGCAAAATTATTTTGATGGCTGACTGTTTAAACCATTCATAGATTGAGTTAATTGATTAATCATATTTTCCCTTGCACCACAGATACTACGCCATCTGCTGTCAGCCCCTGGTATACAGGAACAAGATGACGCCCATCAGGGTGGCTCTGATGCTGGGAGGGTGCTGGATCATCCCCTCCATCATCTCCTTTCTTCCCATAATGCAAAGCTGGAATACCATCGGCATAGAGGACATTGTACGTAAGCGTCTCACAATGAATAATCCAAAGCCTGACACGTTGAATAGGGCACTTTTTCTGTGGTCATCAGCCTCAGGAAGATCCCAAACCGTAATTCTGGATGTGTGTACTCCGCTCATGGTCCCCATCCCCCCCAGATTAAGGAGCGGGAGCTCAGCCTGGCTGCCAACGAGACATACTGCATCTTCCTGGTGAACGGGCCGTACGCGCTGGTCTGCTCCGCCGTGGCCTTCTACGTGCCGCTGGGACTCATGGCACTGGCCTACCAGCGCATCTACGTGACGGCCATGGCACACGCCCGGCACATCGGCACGCTGCACCGCGCCGGCTCCGCCCCCGAGCAGCAGGCAGGGCCCGACCAGCAGGGCACCAGCCGCATCAAGGTGGAGACCAAGGCGGCCAAGACGCTGGCCGTCATCATGGGCTGCTTCTGTCTGTGCTGGGCGCCCTTCTTCCTCACCAATGTGGTGGACCCCTTCATCCACTACAGTGTGCCCTGGCAGGTGTGGACCGCCTGGCTCTGGCTGGGCTACATCAACTCGGGCCTCAACCCCTTCCTGTACGCCTTTCTGAACCGTGCCTTCCGTCGCGCCTTCCTCGTCATCCTCTGCTGTGGCGACGAGCGCTACGTCCGGCAGGGCAGCTTTGGACCCTCGCGGCCGTACCCGGCCTCCGTCAACGGGACATCCGTCGCACTCAGGTAAGACCCCATGGCAGAAAACGTGTCCGCAGGAGGAAACATTCTCGAGATTGCAGGGTTACTGTCTGCTGCCTGTAGGGGCTGATCTCTCTCACCCCAAACACAAGGCGTCTGTTCCTGTTATGTTTCCCTGCAATTTGTATTCTGTGTTTCCATTATGATTTTTTCGGGTTCCCTGTTCGGACACTGCATACTCTCTGTGTTTACTTTGCCATATGATGAGGGAGAGGGTGTCATTTGACGGTATCATCAGGTGACAGTGGTGGTCAATTTGAATGCCGCTCTGCTTGGCTGGCCCGAGTGGAGGAGTTTGCTTTTGGCACGCGGACGACTCGGTCTAGCCGATTTGACAAACATGTACGGTATGAAAAAAATGTAAAAATGGATAAAAAGGTGCACAGGCTGTGGTCCGATCGTGCTGATGAGAGCGACTGGGCTGGCAGAAGGTTTTCCTGCATGTTTAAAAAAATAAACGTTTTCACCCCTCCCACCCCCGCCAGGCACATTTCATTAAACGCTAAGTTAGCTTCCGGCACTGTGTCACGCAAAGCTGGGCTTTGATTCAGATATCCCTCCTCCTTCTTCAGAAGCCCCTTTCATTACGTCCTGGAGAAGATAGAAATGTGTGATAACCGGCATTGAGTAATGAGCTGGAAGACATCTGTGTGAACTGATTTTTTTTTTTTTATGTAATATGAGCGGTTTGTGGAAATGTGAGAGGGCTTCTTGAGCAATGATCTTCACGCTTCCATGACGGCTAGTGGTGTGCCAGAATGCCAAACGTGAAAAAAAATGACAGCAGACCGTAAGGAGGAGCAGTGTGGTCAGAACCTGCAGAGCACCAGACGCCAGATGATCCCGAACCTGTGAGCCTGTGAGTCAGCTGCATGCCTGGTGCTGATGATGTCAGAATCGCAGCTCACAGGAAGTGTGGCGGTGGGTGTGGCTGTGAGCAGGTACATGTGGTGTAACCTGAGCCGAATCATCCACCCACAGTATCATCCTTGTGTCACTAGTATTGTATTATGGGTAGTATTAGGGTTGCAAAATTCTGGGATTTTTCTGTTAGTTCCCATATATTCCCAGTAATTCCCATGGAAAGTTTCCAACTTCCCCAGCTTAACTTCCCATGGAATAGAAATTTACCACCCCTGTGCAGCCCTAGGTAGTATTAAGGGATGCGTGTTGCTGTTTTGAATCTTTCCATGATTTAAAAGGCTCCTGTTTCTATGACAGGGCAGAGCTTCCCACTAATCGCTGCTCATCAGCGTAAATTCACAGCCCGCCCTCGGAGCTGCTGTTCTCTCGTGTACTGGAGACGGATTTCTGGTCTGCAGCATCTGGCGTGATTCTTGTTTCGGCGCCCTTCTGCCCGATTCTCACCCTCTGCAGCGTCACGCCTGGGCTCTTACGCTGTCCCGCTTACACTTCCCTGTTGCCCACCGAAGTCTGTGTTCGCTGCTTAAGTCATTACCGGGGTAATGCGAGACGCGTGAATGATATCAGCCTGGCTCAGGTCTGTGTATCTGAACGTGTCTGAAACACTAAACAGATGCCCCCCCGCCCCCCTTTTCTGCCCGTGATCTGATTACCTAAACTCGACTGGACACTGAGTCAGGCCAGATAGCACTTCAAGAAAAATGACATGGTAGGGGGCGGAAGAGTGTAACGTACCCGAAATAAACATGGCCGACCTTATTCTGTCTGAGAGGGTTGCGCTGTGGCTGTGTTCATCGGTCACCTGGCCGCTTCTGCTTGCTTTCAAGCCGTCATTTAATTAGGAGTTGGCTTACAGGTGGGGCGCTGGGTGCGGACACTTCCTGTCTGGACGTTGAGTGCCAGCAAGCCCTCACTGAACCACCAGCCCCCAAAGCTTAGTCCCTTCTGCTCGAGCGAGACACGGACCGCTGATTTCTGGACCGAAGTCGTTATTTGGATTGACTTTGCCTGTCTCTCCTGACATAAGTTGACAAGTTGAGGAAGGGTGACCGAGATGGATGTGGATGCTGAAGAATAGGAATCTCCAGCGTTTTTTACACTGAGAGCTACTTTTACAAAGCAGCAGATAGTGACAGCATGGCGTATGTCGTCCAAGCTAAGGTCAAGTACATACGTGTACACGCAAAATCCAAAAAAAAAACACGTCCGATTTCTAGTAAGCGTTATGCATGTTAGTCATTGGCTCCCTGGGGGCTGCTAGTAGGTCGAGGATGAGGGCTTTACTGACCATTACTCATTCAGCTACATAAATGCTGTTAAAAGCCACTTCTGAAACCCCCTGTGTTACGTTTTACTGATTCGTAGAGGTGAACATTAGCTGCAGCAGTGCAGGTGAGGGGCCTCATCACCCCTGGTGTATACATGTGTAAATGACCGGCCCATCGTCACCTCAAACCCTGTTGTCTCCTTAAGGCCATTTCATGCTTTACTTCTCCACATACGCTTTCGGTCGTGGGCGAGGGGATGTGACGTAAATTCCATCATCAGAGGTCGGCTGCGGACGGCTGCTGTCAGTGCGTGTGTAGCCCAGATTTTTATGTCTAGCGGAATCTGTGCGTGTCAGTGTGCATCGACCACGCTTGTGCAAGATAACTGATTAGGTATTTTGCCGTAAGGATTTCAAAATACTGTGGTACACCTTACCATAGTTCCGCCCAAGCCTTGACTAATGAGTTTTACCAATTTCACTACGCTGCTTGTATTTCAGTTTGTTGCAATACACCTGCCCCCTCCACCACTACTGCATGCATGCACCGACCACGACCACCTGCAGCCCGAAAGCGCACGCTGAAAAGTGGAGTATGAACTAGGCTTTAGCTGCCTCCATGCTGTAGCTGAAAGTTGGGAGCTCGAAGCAGCCGCAGCTCCTGGCTTCTTCTCCATTTCTCTCCAAGTCTTCTGCCAGATATCTGTTGGATCTGAGGGGGATCGGTGTGGCGCCTGTTTGTGCCCACTCCATCTCCCAGTGCCCGCTCGCCAATCCCGCTGTGTGGAGGAGTCGTTTAGCCTCCGGGTCTGTCTGGGCCCAGGCTTGCCCGTGTGGCATACAGTTCTCTGGGTGTCTAATTCACATAGAGCTGTGTTGCCAGCCCACCAGAACCGGGCCTCTCACATATATCCTTCCTCTCGTATTGCTCTCGTTTGTGTGTCTGTTCTCATTCCTCTCCACTCACAGCCAGGTGACCTGAACAGAAGCTCAGTCTAATACGATCAGCCTCCCCTGCATGGTAACATTTATTACACTTACTGTACAACAGCTTACTGGGTCCAAGAAGCAGCTGATGACTATAGATGGAATAAAACAACAGAAATGCACATTAAATTCACACACAGAAAATCTTACTGGTACCTGGGGGGTCTTATGGCCTTTCCCTTCTGCTGGTTTGACTTTGCAGTTGAGATCCACCCCCCCCTCCCCATTCATGCGTATGGGCTCCTAGGGGTGGGTTGTCTCAGAAATGCCAGGATGTATTTTCAGAGCCCAGTCCTTCCAGAGTGAATGATATGAAAGCAGTCACACGTCACTTTAATGGTGTCATTGGGCAGCTTACGTGGGTTTCATTTCACAGCTCACCTCGAAGGTCTGCAGTTTTCTGCAAGGAGGTGAGAGAGCAACCGCCTGGGCAGAGGCGGGAGCGAACAGGAGACACCAAGCAGCCTCAAACACAGGCTCTTCCAGAATTTTCTGGACCTGACTCTTTAAGCAGGTCTTCATTAAATGTAACGGGAACGATGTCCTTCCAAAAACCGAGTGTTCAAAAATACATTACTTGACCCATGATGTCAGACCAGCGTGGTCAGTCTTAGACAAGTTTGGTGCGTGGCTGGTGGGGTCATGTGTTTTCAGGTCGTAGTTTGGACCATGCTTAGCTAAGCTGAACACTTTCATTTCTAAGCAGCTTTCAGATGTGGAACAAAGCAGTAATTGAGATGTCACACATTTCTCATGACCTCCCCAGATGCCCCACTTACCTGTGTCCGTGCACATTGTCAAACTACATACAGAATGTTACTACAACGCAGGGCGCCACACAAAGGCCGGGGCAAGTACTACAACACCCCAAAACTCACCTCAGGTGAAAACATCCGGTAGATTAATGGTTAGTTCCTCGTGTTTTGGACAAATGTGTTGCAGCACCAACCTTCTGGCCGGAATCCCTTTCCTACATAATCTGAATTTGAAGGGATGTTATTCCTGTTGTCTGGGAAACAGCCCAGCTGCTGGTGTTAGTAAAGCCGTACAGAGTGACCATGTGGTCGATGACTGTTTTGCTGTGAGATCGGGAAGACAACAAGCTACCTGCAGATCATGCGCAGTTGCTGGCTGGTAATCGCATTGCAAGTTTCCCTCCGCAGCTATGGCGCTGCATGCGGCATGCGGCTGCCTTCTTGGCTGTAATAGCCTGTGATGACTTATTGAAGCGGTTATCAGTGAGGATACAGCCATTAGTGAATTTGACTGGAAGGGTTTGCTGTCGTCGGGAGTGCCCCTTGGGATGCCAGTAAAGGGAAACGTCTTGGGTTGATCTGCAGTGTGGTAAATCACATGTCTTTTGCAGAGTGACAGCAGAATATCAAAGGAAGGCACCATAATCCATTATGATTACAGGTGAACGGTGTTTGAGCAGTGCAGCTTGGGTGTGGTGATCTGTATCACTGGTTCTCAACATTTTTTGCACCGCGACCCAATTTTTACCATGCCAGCTCAGTATAGGTTTTAAATTAAATCTATGATTAAGCACGCAGTGTGCTATGCAATTTACACCAATCAATGCCTGTCGCACAAATCTGATTGGATGTGCCAGTGAATTTTAAATAAACCATCTGTGGATTGGCTTCTTGGATTGGTTGTGTTAACTGGTTTTGTGCTAAGCATTTGCAGACCCAAGACCCTTTTACATAGGTTAATTCTAGAATTGGGGCTGGTAAATCTGATTGTGGATCAGCATAGGAGTTTAAAATACTTACATTTCCAACTCTGCCTCGCGACCCTTTCAGAA